GGGATGTTAAAAYAATATAAAAGCAGTCATTGTAGAAGAGATATGGGAAATGGTTATAGACTTTATAGTTTATAGTTTAGACCTCTTGAATAATGCAGTGTGCAGYCAGCACAAGATTTACATGCCACTCTGTCACAAGTTCTCAGCAAAAATGCTTTATTATTTTTTCCTGACAGACTGATATGAAGAGGCACCATCTCCAGAAGAATGGCAACATGCACAGGTGCACAAGGTTGGTACAAAACATGACTGGAACATCTAAAATAGCAAAAAAGACTAGCTAATGCTTTCATGCATTAACCTCACAGGCTGATGTAAAAAAACAAAGGAATATTTTTTTCTTAATCAAGGTAGCCTTCACCGGGAGAAGTAGCAACTGAGATACCTATTATACAGCAATTAYAGCAATTGAGCTACATTGTAGATTCAATTCAATGAGTTTTAGTTGAAAATTTTAACAGAATTTTCTAGAGATGACATTTATGTTTTTCAAATGAGTGAATAATGCAAACTATTTAAATGAGGCCTATATAATAGTGCTACATAATATCTCAAAATGTCCATATTTTCATACATATTCTATAGTTTTGCCAAAGGTCTTATGAAATTTACTTGGTAGTATTTTGGTATTCTTCTGTGGTAAAAGAAATCACAAATAAAAAGAATAACCTGAAAAGAAGTTAAATTCCTTACAGATGAAGGAAGGCACCTCCTTCCTGATCCCAGTCCTCAGTCCTTTTTAGTCCTCAGGCCTACAAATCTTTAGAACATAAATGCAAAAACCCATGCTGATCAGGATCAACCCTGATTCTTCACCCAGTTCTATAGCCCATCACTGGCATAGTCAAGCCCAGATGTCACAAAAGATGGCAACAGAAAACTCAAATAGCAGACATGGCATCAGCACGTTCTGAAGTCTTGCAGTCCCTAATAATCACAGATGGTCTTCAGGCAGAGGTATRGTATTTTATATCCTGTGCCCTTATCTTCTTTTCTAATTGGTCCTTTTGCCTCACAGAGTTTTCCTGTATTTTTAGAAGGCTAGGGAAGAATGGAGGCTAGGAAGGAGAAAAAAGGCTCTGCACAGAACTGTTAAAATGGCAGTTACCAGAAAATCATAATAAAATGAAGGACTGAAAGTTTCTTAAATTGGAAGCTACATTTTGCATGGCACCTTAAGCTGGACAGAAATTCAAGTTCAGGAAAAAGTGCAAGTGAAAGCARGCTTCAAAAACCTGAGACTCTCTGCACCAGGACAGTTTTTTTCTTCTATGAGCATAGGATAAAGGCACATGAACTCACAGGAATGTGGCAATGGCACTCCATCTATAGGATTGTTTCCAGCCTGTTCAGCCATATGCACACACACACACACACACACACGAGGATATACAGAAGTTTTTAACTATGTATTCTAAATTCAGACACCGAACAGCCAGCAATACATTTTCAATTTATGAAAAAAGAAGCCCAGATCAGAAAAGACAGTAACTGTGCCTGAGCTGAAAATAAAAGATATATAAGCCTTCTTTAAGACCAAGCAAGTCTGTGAGAACAGACTTAGAGAAGGCTTTCAGGGAATTAAGGGTTATCTTTAGCATTTCAATTATAATTTTGGATAGTAAAAGATATATTTGGCAATGATCAAAGCTGGCAGTCAGGATAGTATTTGGATATGCATTAAAAAGTGATGTGATAACGAAAAGCTCTGTTGTCAAATGTTACAGAAATCTTCATGTATTGCAGATTATCATATAATTCACAACTGTATTTTCTATTTATATGCCTTCAAGCCCTTCATGGAATAACAAATTATTTTAAGCTGGGTGTAGTTGTTGAAAGCAAAGAAAATCCTTCATTGTCAACATAGGATTTACACAAACATTTTCAACCTGATCCTGAGATCCTGTAGCTCAAGATATTATTAGTACKTTCAAGAACCATGAGAGGAATTTTCCTATGTAAAAGAAAACATAACCTTGTGAATRATGAATAAATTATGGAGTATTGAGATTATGGTAGCAAAATCTGGGGATTTTATTATGTGCAGTACTGTTCTCACAAAATGTATTCCTTGCTACACAAAATATATTCCTTGCTACATAAATTACCCCTAATTATAAAAACTGTTTTGCATAAGTGTAGCTGTCCTAAAATCTGAAAAGATGCATATAAATTGTTCCTCCATTTTACAGAATAGTACTGTGAAAAACAATTATGCAAAATTAAATAATTAATTATTGTGCTTTTCAGTGCCCCAGTCACACAAATCTTTTMGGCTTTCAAATAATGTTTGGGTTACTTTAAATGATGCACATCTTGAAACTCAAATGAAATAGTGATGCAATTTTAATGGAGCAATTAAAATAATTTTTCATGGTTTCTAAATGGATTASCTCTAAAATTACTTGTCTACTAAAAAAAAAAAACCACTTCTGCAGAGCAGTTACCCAATATCACATTTCCAGACAATGCCTCCTTTGTCATCTCATCCTGTTTCTCGTTCTCCTTCAAATGCCTACTGAACACAATTGCCTTTTGAACTTATTCACTGAAAAGAATTTATCCTTTTCTTTAGTAAATTTTAAAACCTTTCCCTTAGTGAATCTGCAGCAGAAATCCTGTTATAGATAAATAACATTTGTCTCCAGCATAAATGCAACACTTGGGATGTTTGAAATTAAGAACACATTCCATATTTTGTGCCTTATCCTTAAATCCATTTATAACACTATMAAATATTGTATCACTAGGAATTTGTTGCAGCTCAGACCTACTTATGGYTGGAAGGACATGGCTGAGACTCAGATCTGGAGAAATGGATAGCAATGACAAGCAGTCACTTCAGCTCATTTTCTATGACACATTTCTTCTCAGAACAAGGTTTTTTTTCCCCTAAATTACATTAGCAAAATTTTAGTCTCTATGCTTTCAGAAAATATTTACTATGATGTCCACCTATAGATTTTTACTTTYTCAAAAGAAAAATAATGAAATTGTGTCTCCCTGAYCTGCAGTACAGAGGCCAAASCCTTCTGCCTGAAGTCTGTMRTGCCAAGAAGAAAGAAACTAGAAAYGGAAATTTTGACTTTTCAGTRGTTCCGGTATGAAATCAAGCCTTAAACAAATTCTGAAAACTGGAAAGCTGCTCCCCATCAACTTATTAGAAACTTCACTGAATACTGTTCCATCTGCTGTGAGGAACACAGAGGGAGGCCAGCAAAATAAACATTATAAAAATATATTATTATTTCAGGCATTTTCTCATATAAATGCTCCTACTTTTACAGTTTAAACTTCATGTACTCTTAAACAAGCTCTACATTACTTTTAAACATGTCTCTAAAAACCWGTCCTGTGTTTATAAACCTTTGCTTTGAATGTTGTGGTTGGTCTTCCAGAAGAAACCAGTTACTGTCAATGGAATACAAATACATAAAAACAAATATCCAATCCCAGGTTAGTAGTTTCAACAAATTATTTATCTGATAATTTCTTTATTTATGTTTGTCCCTTACCTATTTAGATAGTGACGTGTACAGAATAGAAAATACATTTTATTTTGCATTAATTAGGTATTAATGTAATGAGTGATTGACTGTCACAAGATATAAAGTGAATGAAAACCACTGAATCAGTAAGAGGACTCCAGGGAATGCTCTTCCYGTGAGAATGCAGAGAAAGAAGCAGCTTCATGGAAATTGCTCCTTACAATATCATGTGGTGATTARGCCAATGCTACACAAGATCAAGACAATAACTTGGTTTTCTATTCTGCCCTTGTTTGCACAAAAAAAACCCCACCTCATCAAAGCACCTTGGAGCTTTTTGGCTATTAAATTTACTGAAACTGCCCAACAGGTTCAAAAGTTGCTGGCTGGATTACTGACAGAGGGACACAGCAGGATTTCCTTAGGAAGTCAGGCTAATCAAATTGTTTAAAAAAAATACAACGTGAATTACATTTTATTTTCATTTTGTCTTACACAGAACTAAACCAAATGGTAGCAAAACTGAGCCTATTTCACCCTTTATAATTTTACTTCCCTCCCTCCTTTCATAGAAATAGTTTTAATTTTTCATCTGAGATTATTTTTTCTCTAATTATCAACTTGGCAGCTACTTGAACTAATCCTTAAAAAATCACACTTAAGATACTTCTTACTTATTTTCCTATATAAAAATGTGAAACATTAAAATGTAGTTTCAATATGTATTTCTGCTGCTTGTTTCAGTTTTACTGTAAATGTTCTGCAAGCAAAATTTCTTTTGGGCTGGAACACTAACTTTCCTGTCATAAAATGATACAATATAATTCAGTGTATGCTGACTTAAGTTATTTGGGCTATAAGATTAATTTTCAGGTGACACTTAATCATGGAGGTATTTACCAAAATATGGAAAAAWTAACTGTATTCAGCAATGTTATATTGTTATTTGTAGTTCAATGAACACTACTCTTAAAAATCTTGTGTTACGACCTWAATTACCTAATGGACAACATTGCCAAGTGTTTCAGATTGTTTTAATTAAATTWGTGAGTACAGGGGCACTTCCTTTTTACCTACTCTGTCATTATTTAGCCAAAGTAAACACATTTAATGCTGTCAGCCTTTAATCATAAATCCTTTCCTTCAGCTTTGCAATTTTATTTGTACAGTTCTCTGAATTTTCTTAAAATTCTTTAAGTATTTATAGTATGTTTTTTTTTCCCAGAAATGAATTTAATTTTCTGTGCATGACCCTGTCAACACAATAATGAAAAAGWTTCTTTTTCATTAATGAGCCTCAATGTAATTTTAATTATTATCACAGCTCTGATTTTTAATTGTCCTCAACATTGTGATTTCTCAGTGTCCCACAGTTTTAAAAGAATTTCAGGAGTTCACTTCTCACCTCACTGCCAGTGTTCAGTTGCCTTAATGCTTTTTTTTCTTTTCTTTTTTTTTTTTTTTCCCCAGAGGTAAGCAGACAAGAAGGGACTTACAGCAGCAACTTACCAAGAGTTCGGAAAGGTCTTTGGTTTGGTGTATGGGAGAAGAAACCAGGTTTCAAAGCATTTGTGATCAAAATGTCAAAATACTCCTCRAAATCATTCCTATAAAATACAGGAAATTTAATTAGTTATACTAATGAATTAGCTAAGATGCCAAAAAGTACTCTTTAAGATTTAAGAAAATACCAAAGCACTTTAATGCACTTGCTTCTCTCGCTTTTCTTTYCTCAATTGTTTCAATATTGCCCTTCTTTTCCTGAGATTGCCAAAAGGGACTCCAATCCACAGTGCTTTATCTTTGGGATCACTCATTATTTGTAAAAAGATGTTCCTTGATCTTAGGAGAACATGTAGCAGATGACATATTTTTATCTGAGATGGCAACATATGCACAGACACGAACAGAAAGTTGTAAATGAGGGCTTTTCGTTACAAAGAAGAATAAATGAAGGGCTGGGGTAGGAAGGAATTGAAGACATTTAAACACAGGTGCTTACATTGTTGAATCCATACTTTTGGTGTGCACAGGCCTAAGATGTCATGGGCAGACAACAGAGATCTAATTAACAGCCAATGAAGTTTAAAGTGTCATTTCACATATTCCAAAATTGAAGCACCATTTTGATAGCTAAACTCCCTCTGCAGACTMCACTGGCTGCTTTCATTACATCCCTGCTAGTTACAGGGAGGTTGGACATGTGGATACAAATAAACACCCCTCAGCTTTGAGTTATAATCTGCCAGCTAAATCCCACCACTAAATTCAGATTTTTCAGGGATTGTTAGGTCGATATATAYGGATTGGTACTTCTACTGGGGAAATCCCATCAATTTAAATGGGTTTGAATGCCTCAGCATGGTATATAAGAAAATGTAAACATTCCTCATCTATGATGTACTTTATTTTATTAAAAATATTCCATTGCTTCGGTGACTTCATTCCCTACAGTATCCAAAAAATGAAGGATACTCTTSCATCGAACAAAAATCACAGATGGCAAGTTCAGGGTGGACACAGGCACTGAAATGCTATCAGCAGTAGCGGAAGCTTGCKAGAAGTAAACCAGATAACTGTATCACTTTCAAATATTTCACAATGTTCCATGGGACTGAGATATCTTATCAAAAACTGAATGCTCTCACTATAAGAGAGAGCTTTTGGTTTATGCTCAAAATTATATTCCAGACTTAAAATAAAAGTCCTTTAGATTTACTTCCTCTAATGAAATTTTAGCTTTGTCTATTTTTCTGCGCTTGTRACCATATGTAAACATTTGTTGTTATAAAAGAACCAGTATCAAATATTACAGTGATGTGTTTTTAAAATTTATTTCCGTGTGGAASATTCCAGAAGCTGAGCAAACAGGCCCGGCTCTTCTGTTTTGAAGTGAAAAACATCGACTAAACTCTTCAAATTAGCCTCTGGTGCAAATAATGCTTCCATGGGTAAGTTAAGCTTRAATTTGCAAAACAAAGCAAACATTTCAGGAGCTCAAAAAAGAACAATTAACAAGTGAGAGGATGAGAGGAAATGACCTCAAGTCGAACCAGGGCAGGTTCAGATTTAATTTAGGAAACATTTCTTCACAGAAAGGGTAGTCAGCCATTGGAACAGGCTACCCAGGGTAGTGGGGGAATCACCACCCCTGTAAGTGTTCAAATAATGTGTGGATGTGGCACTTGGTGATATGGCTTAGTGAACATAGAGGAGCTTGGTTAAGGCTTAGACTCGATGATCTTAAGGGTCTTTTCCAACCTAAATGATCCTATTATTCTATGATTTGTAGAAACAGTGGCAAGTGCTTTGTTTAAAAAAATTTGAAACTGAACAAACAAAGAGTTTTCGGAAGATTTGGTAACTTTTTATTGATCTGTTGAAAGACTGTACTTTGCGTATGGAGATGTGTTATCTGTGGCCGTTTTTTGAAACAGTATATTAAATCTCATGTACAAAACCACTGTTTTTATGAGAGACCTTGTGTTACATCACTATGTAACACCATACATAAATCAAATCTGTTCCAGTTAGTGTCAGCAGTTGGTGGGGTGGCCTGTGGTTACAGCAAATAGCTGACACAAGGGTAGGATGTGTCTCATGCATGTATCATGACTTTAACCTCCTAAAAATTGCACACTGAATTCAGACAGTGATTGGCACCACAGATGGAGCCAATGGAGAGAAATCCACATTCCTGAAAGGTAATTCATCCCACTTGTTGCAGACATAATTCTACAATGCAGAATGAATTGCCAAGGATAATGCCCAGTGGTTTTCTCCCATTAACCACAGAAGGAAACAAAATGACCAGCTTCAAAAAGTCCCGAGCATTTTTTAGCGTGCTGCTGCCAACACTTAAATGTTCAGTTAACTGGAGAGCATCCTCATGGTATATAAGACTGAAACGTCACAATGTGATGCTGCTGCTGTGTGAATGAACCGGCATTTGGTTCTGTAGGTTTACCTGTCATATATACTGGTCAGTCCCAGCAGAAAGTCTTCACTCTGGCAGGGAAACATTTTATTTCAAAATTGTTTCTTTTCTTACACGCCCTACCAAAATGTGTTTTAGTTAAGGACGACTTGGTCAGATGAACACAACTGGGATATTTTTCTCATGGAATGGTAAATGACCCACTCAAGCATGAATTTCCCAGCACAGATTTTATGAAGACAATAATTTTCACAGCCAAAAATTTCTTAGCAAAAAAGTAAGGAGTTATAAGGTAAGGATATTAGGAGTAAGAGCACAAAATTTCACAAGCATATCTGCTTTTCATCTTTATCATTAGAGCTTTTTTATTTAATACAATACAGTTGACTTCTCAGTATCGTATTGATTAACTGAAAGAAGTAGGGATAGAAATTAATAAAGGACTACGTAGGTGCCATTCATAAGTGCTGACATCAAGAATAAAACATAATGCTGATGCCAAGAATAAAATGCAGTTAGCCTGGTCAAATTAAAGTTAAGGACATATATTATAGGTGTGAACCTAAACTGCATTCCATTACAGCAAAAGGAGGCGCAGGTATGTGCAGTCTTTTTGTCTGCTGTAAGACAAATGGAAAAAACAAAACCAATTTAAAATTTAGATTTTCAGGGAAAAAAACCCACTTCAATAATGCCCAGTGGACAGTGGAGTACTCAGTTCTCCAGAAGCTACTTGGAACACACACTGCATGAGTCACTGGAAAATATGATTATAATAAATACTGCAGAACATCCTTCACTAGTGTGGAAAGAAGGAGTGATACAGAATCCTTCTAGCAGAACATCTTYCTTTCTTTCTTTTGAAAGGCATCTGGCTGTCTCTAATACCTTGCTTACTGTTTTCTGCGGCATTTCTACGGCTGCCTTAAACAGCTGAACACTATTCACCAAGGAATAGAAAGCCAAAATCATTATGTGGCCAAGAACATACTTTTATACCACATTTTAATTTAGAAAATAACTAAACAGGTCTACACTAAAGAGTTAATCCACAGGCATGTTGATCACAAGGAGAATTGCTTTTTGTCAGGAGGTAGATTTGCCCCTCAAATGAGCAAGTTCATGCAAAGCAGTGAGAACTGGCACAGCTGATGGTTCATTTTAGCATTAAGCCTGGAGAATACAAAAGAGAAGTGATACTGGCAGGACTGGTTTTGGAAGGTAGCTCTGTCTTTTACCTTACCCGTGGTTTTCTTACAGTGTTGCTGTATTAACTGCTGTTCCCTGGCATAACCTGATAGTTTAGGTTGGCTCACATTGGACTGCTTTGTTTCTTTGATTAATGAAAAATTAATAGTGTCCCCTTGTCACCTAGTTTACTATTTGATTCACTGATTAATTCTTTTTTCTAGGTGTGTAAGTAATGGTTCTGATGAATTTCATTGAATTTGACTTGACCAATCATGTTCTTAACATTATGCTAGAAAGAGCTGTTGTGAGCAGCAACTACAATCTCAACCAGGTGCCAAGTGCAAAGAACTGTCTGTTTCATCTTTTCTGCTGTGATGAAGCACATTTCTCATGCACAGCCATCTTTTGGAAACCGTTAAGGGGAAAAGGTATTGGTAAGCTTTTCCTATAGATTTACTGTAAGGAAATTAAATAGTACTACTAGTTGCATTCACTGCTGGAGAAGCAAGAAAGGAAGTGGCCTGAATAAGAAAAAGTAGCAAAATTTATGATAAAATTAGGAATCAGGTGGTGCATTGGATATTGGCCTGAAAGATAATTCCCCAGCATTTTCAATCCCATCAGGTGCCCCCCAAAAGATGCAGGATAGAAGTGTGCTGTGGGTCAGACACAGCTCACAGACAGATTACTTTGTCTCAAGCACCCTGTAACACTTCCCTGGACAGGGGTCCACCAGAAAACTCAGAACCAACTAATTCACCATATACAAACAAAACTCAAATTAGCTTCCCAGTATTTCAGGCTTATCTCCAGCTGCTCTTTAGGAGATACAATTTGAAATGGGCTTTGTACTTACCCAAGAACATGTTCACACAGAAGTCTGCAGTAGTCACTGTGAGAACTAGTAATTAATAGCAGAATCTTCCCGGCATTCTTCAGTTGTTTCAGCCACTTTTTAACAGACTCGGGACATTTTTGTAAATATTTGTCTGGATGATTTTTCACTTCTGGGAAATACGTCCCACAGTTTTCTAAAAAAATTAAAACATAATTATGTTATCCAATCCTGCTCACAAGCCACTTAATCCACACAACAAATATCTTTCATGTGCAAGMAACACAATTAAAAAAAGGCAAAGCAAAGTGAAAAATTTTCCCTGGCCTCTAACTTAATATAAACCGAAACCCACAATCAAACCAAGATGATTCACTGTAGCAGAAATAAATTTGCATGACTTTTCTCTTTGATTATGGAATTTTCATAGTTACTTTGTTTGATGTTCTTTTGCTTATAGTAGTTAATAGCACAGAAACTGCAGATTACAGTTTTATGCAGGAAATAATTATTTCTTGATGCTTTTGCTCAATTTTTAGATATTCCATTTGTGATTGTAAAATGATTTTAATGCTTAGAAAATGGCAAGGACCTGAAATTCTGAAAAAACCACCTGTTCAGTTACTTCTGACACTTTAGATTAGCATTGATTGATCAGTTACATCCATTTTATTATTGCATTTTTCACAAGCAACACTTTATCTTTGAAAGGTTGATAAAACTGACAAAGACTCATAAGTATTTGGAATGCTAAGAACAGATGCAAAAAAACCATCCAGTTCCAATTCCAGCTTCAATAATGCTTCTTTTTTGCCAAATAAAACAGAAACAGAATTTTGCAAATACACTTGGAATGCAAGGTTTTTAAAAAGTGTGGAACAACACTAACTTGGCAGTAAAAGTTACCTATTCATTAAAGTCACCAATAAATATTCATCTTGTTATAGCCCATAGCTGCTTTACCTACAGGTCAAATTAACATTAAGCTTACCTACATATTTCCTCTGTGCTCAAACCCTCTATAMCCAAAACTGTCAAGCTAGTTAAAGGTCTAAAAAGAAACACAATAACTGTAGAGACAGAAATGATACCAAGTATTTGGCTCTAAGTCTGTGTGTGTTATAGTATAATGAACATCATCATGGATTATTTTTCTTCCAGCACTTGTTCTATATGCAACTGTCTGTGGTCAACTTTGCTGAATGATTTAATAAATCCCAGACATTACTTAGCCTTCTGGTATGTGAGTAATGCTGTTCTCTAGTTTGAAAAAATAAGATTTAAACCACTTGAACTTTAGCTATTTAATGAAAGAGAACATGCATGTTTGAAACAGTAGTATCAAAGAAAGACTGAAAGCTGCTGGGTGCTAAACATAACAGCATTTCATACACTACACATTCAAAAATTTACAGATGGCAGGGAACAAAAGTCTTCCAAAAGAAGTTTCAAATTGGCTGTTATTCCTGGAGCTAGACAGGAGGCAAAAAAGTATTATTCTGTACAACAACTTGACAGATTTCTTCAAAAAAAGTGGTCTAATATATCCGAGGAGAGTCTCTCAAACAAAATCTCCCAACTCRCAACCAGGTCACTATTCCAGTTCTTCGTTGTATTTAGGTCAGGCTGTGTAAAAGTGTGCACCAGGGGAATATGAGCCTGTTCCTGCAGCCAGCATTATGGGATGCCATGWCATTTGCCTTGAGAGCTAGCCAAGAACAATGATTTTTTTGATTAAACAAAGCAGATTTACGAAAGAAGGCTTCCTGTTGTGTTTTTCCTCCTTCTTTCCTGGGGCATGAATATTGTTTGGCATGAGTAATAGAGTTTCTAGGAGCAGAAACTGCATTTTATTTCAATATTATCGTTAGCAATTATATTTTATATGCTATACTAGGACAATTTTTCTTTTTTGGTGTTTTGGAAAGTGCACAACATTAGATGTGAATTAAGTGGGACACACAAAGCAGGCTTGGCATTAGCTTTCACAGGTCCAAACAATTAAGATAAGGATGGCAAAAGTCATTTTTATAACCAGTGACCTATCAAGCTTTTTACCCTCAGACAAGAAGATCTGTTTTACTCTTGGACACTACATTGTTTTTCTTTCCTTATGAAAAGCCTTCTGCCCTCTGTGGCCATTCTTTGATGTGTAATTTTAAGACTTTGAGCTAATTTAATCAACACTGTCTACTTTGTCCATAACAAGTGCAGTATCTTCTTTGTGATATTTTATTTGGCCTTTAAGTTACATACGTAACAGGCCAACAGGATTTGAACTCCGGATTCAATACAAATCTGAAAGAGAGTCATATCTTAGCTTTCTATCCAGATCCTGAAGCCCAGCTGTTAATTGCAGACAAGCGATGCATCAGTTCTTGACACTGCAATCTGAAATTTGCCTCTGGGCTGTTTGCCATATCAGGCAGAGGCAGCTCAGAAAAACCCTCATTAAAGCATATTCTACTGTAATTAGGCCAGCGTGGCCAGGAAAGTAGAATTTGACTTAATTCCCTACATCGTACTGCATCTGGTGAAAAGCTTGGTGGAATACAAACACACACCTGTTAATGAGTTTAACCACCTAAGCTTGCAAGATTTGATTGAAAGCCAAATAAAATAAAGCCAAAAAATTTGTTCATTAGCCCAGAGCAAAAGCCAGTTTTGAGGAGCAGAGAAGAGCCACAAGCACTTTATTGGCAAAAAGAATTGTGCTTTAAGAAGCTTTAATATATGATGGAGAAATAGCATCACGTCAATTTGTCAAAATCAAATGGAATGATTTCCTAATGACAAATGAAGCCTTTTCCCCCACTATGACATATGTTACTCTATGTTTTTCTAACATAAATACATGTTTTTCAAACAATAAAACCCCAYAAAAGTAAGAAAAAAACTCTATTAAGCAAAGCGCCAGTGAGAAATCTGAAAAAAAAAAAAATTTATCACAGCCAACAGAGCAAAGGCAAAAAAAGTTAATAGTAAACTGTCATACAGATYTATTCTTAAAAAACAATGAAAAAAATTCTTCAGAATAACACTTTTCTCAAGAAAGAAGAAATTTCTCTAGCCTGCAATACCTTCCTGATAATGCTTATAAGCCACCCAAAGTAAAAAATGCTTTTAAAAATGGAGCTATAAGCAAACTTTAGAAAAGTTTTGTTGGTCCACAAATTCAATGCATCAAAGTGACTTGTGGTCAGTGCCAGATCTACATCTGACAGTTTGCTATCTGTACACTGCCTAAAATAAAAATCTCTACTTTTTTTTCCTGTCTGTTTTATGAATATCACTTAATATACAGCTATATGGACATTGCCACGTATTAATGCGTACCCACAAATCAGAAAAAGCACAACTTTAACAAAACAACTGTCTCAACTTTCACCTCAAAGTCTCTGTTATTTTCAGTTACCTTCAAGCATGCCAAAGCCTTCATTAGTAACCTCTGGCTCTTTGGCAGTGTGAACACTTACTCAAAATACAAAAAAGTATTTAATTAAAAAAAGATTGAAACAAGAAGACCATGACAATCAACATAACAATTTACCCCCTRTGATTTTAGAAGAAAACTTAATCCAATGATATGGAGAAGGAAAGTGAATATCTAAGCATTTTACAYGCAACTTTGGAATTTATTACATATATGTTACCATGGAACAAATGCAATTTTTTCAATTTCCATTCTTGTTACTAAACAACTYGAAGTTTATCTCAAATCTCTGAAAWACAGCCTGGAATACCAAATTAGCAACTAGTCTCTGTAGGGATTTATAATAATTTTCCATGTACACTTTCAAAAGTAAAAATTGCCTTTAGACCCCACCAAGTATCCTTTTAGGAAAAATGATTTTTTCCAGCTGAAGATAGAAAAATAARCAATTAAAATGAATTGTCTAGAACCACCATGTATTAAAGTCCTGCCAGAACCTCTTATCAGATCAAAATCCTGGTGTAATTTCAAAGCAATGTGATTTCCTATCTAGATTATCAGAMGTTCTCTTAGTGTCCGGTTTAGAGTTTGTTTTTTCTTGTCTTATTAATTCAATCAGGACATTCTTTGCATTGTCTTGACTTGCAGTTTAACTGTGTGTAACACAGTTGTGATAGCAGTTGTGTGATGCCCGCAGTTGGGAATTATGTAGTGGGAAATGCTGGAAATGCACAACAGCAGACCAAAATCAGAAAGAGCCTGTAAAATGCTTGCTGTGTCTTCCAGCACAGACAATAATCCAGTCCTTAATCCAACCACCCTCCTCTTCTACAGTCACACAATTACTTTATGGAAGTATGCAGTTTGATGTTCCAGCATAATACTTGTATCTGTGGAAAAAATAATTATGGATTGCTCTGCCTTACACCGCTTCTCCCTGGCAGGGTCAGTTCACACCCATTGGCCTTGGACTCCTTTGGACTCAATGTCTGTAAATCCCCACTACCAGGACACTGCAGTTTTCATCCCTTAACTGTTATTTGGATTATAAAATGGTAAAATGTTCAAGAGGCACATTTCTGGAAAGGTTTCGGTCCAGAACTAAAACACAGGAACAGTGCATTTCTTAGTATTGTCACTGCTTCTAAGGGGCACCTACTTGATTAAATTAAAAATAATTTATCCTCTATATATACAATTTAGCTAAGCAGAGAAGTATGAGGCTAAAAAAAAATCCCTAGAATTCAGCCAAGAAAAACAACCTTTCAGCTGCCAATTTGTAGCTTGTATTTAGTGGCTTTAACAACTAACAATTTCTTACAATGAAAGTAGTATTTGGGGATGTGACTTTTAAACTCAAAGGCAATATGATAGCTTAGCTACTAATACCCATAGCCAAATTCTCTGTAGCTCTTCCATGAGTAAGAACTTATAATTCTCCCCTAATTTTTGTCATAATGCAGGCCTGCAGGTAACAGTTATTAATTTGATTAAAAGAGCAGAGCTGCAATAAATGTTACGATCAGCAATGATACAGGTAACTATATTCATTGTATATGCCTATGCACTGAAACCTTACAGCACTTCAGGTTTTTAGGCTGAACAGAGACACTTCTTTGATCATTGTTGCTGTCATCTCTTTCCTAAATAAACTAACTTAACTGTCAAGAGCATTCAACAWAAACACAAGGAAATACCTTAATCAMAGAAGAGTCTGCAAAAGAATTTAAATTTCATCTAATGAAAGAAAGGAGAAAGGGGGT